GTCATCTGCCTGAGATGCAAGCCCGTCTGCGAGATTGCCAGCGGTCATTTAGCAATTTGCTTGTTGATCGCGAAGAAGTCGTCCAAGAGACCGGAGCGCAAGGCTTAAGTCTCGTTTACGGAATTGGTGACCGGGGACTGAAGGACGACCTGGTGCGTGATCTGGTGGATTCTTTTACTGAAGGCAAGTCAAATCTAAGAGGAGGCCGGGTCAACGATTCTACCGAATTGTTCGAGCCAGGGGCCTTACCAACCGGGGGTGGATCATCTGTGAATACCTATAAAGATATCATGAACCTCGCTGCCGAAGCGGGGGATCCTACTCTGGTTTATCGGTTCATGGCGCTGGCCTCGAACAATGCCCTTTGGACCAGCCGTGCGGCTTTCAGCAAATTGGGAATAAGCAGCATATTCTCCGACTCAAGCGTGGACGGCTACCTTGCGAAGAACCCCAAGATTTATCCGAAATTGTTTCGCTACAGATTCGACCCGAACCCAAATGTGCAGCGATCGATGGACACAATATGGCGGGCCCTGGTCAAGAATCCGACGGAAGTGATTGATGCTCATTTCGATGAGATCATAACTGATCTACTGAAGAGCATGCTGACAGGACGAGAATGGAGGGCTCGGCAAGCGAGTTGCGCTGCAATTGCCGACCTCATTCAGGGCCGCCAGCCGGAAATGTACGCGGGGTATATCAAAGAGATCTTCACTAAAGCCTTTAAGCTACTGGATGACATCAAAGAAACAGTCCGGGTTTCAGCGATGAAGCTTTGCCAGATCATCACCAACATGATCATGCGCACATTAGAGACAAGCCAACCCGATGCGAAGCAAGCTGGTTCAATGCTGGAGACTGTTATCCCGTTCCTGCTGAGTGACAAAGGCATGGAGTCCGGGGTTGAAGAAGTTCAAGGATTCGCGATTGGAGCACTGATTCAAATGATCAAGAAGAGCCCTGCAAAACCACTGCGCCCATTCGTGCCTCACATCATGGAACAGTTCTTAAGCTGCTTGAGTTCCCTGGAGCCCCAGGCCATGAACTACGTTCATCTCAACGCCGACAAGTATGGCTTGACGGGGCAGGATATCGACAAAATGCGTCTATCCAGCATCCGCACGTCGCCTATGATGGAAGTCATCGAGCGGTACCTCATTGATATGCTCGATGTAGAGAGCATGAAAGAATTTGCCTTGAGGCTAGAGGGAGTACTGCGCTCAGCAGTGAGTCTTCCGTCCAAGGTGGGCTGCAGTCGTGTCCTGGTGCTCCTAAGCATGCGAACCACATTATTTCGTCCCTTTGCAGACCGCTTTATTCAGCTCCTTGGGAAATACGTGGTAGATCGTAATGACACTGTTAGCGCGTCCTATTGCTCCTCAATCGGGTATTTGATGCGCCTTGCTTCTGATGAGCGGTTCTTGAGCACGGTCGAGCACGCGAAGAAATTATACCTCACAGCAGAAGACACCAATCAGCGTGCTATCTCGGCTGAGATTTTGCTTTCGACGTCAAAGCTAGCTAATGACCGGTTTATAGCATTCGCCACGGCGGCACTGCCATTCATCTTTGTATCTAAGTACGACTTGGATGACCATGTTCGGGAAGTATTCGAAAAAGCATGGCAGGACAATGTCGGTGGTAACCGCGCAGTGTCACTCTACATCAAGGAGATTGTTGACCTTGTGTCTCAAAGCCTGGAATCAGCGCGCTGGGCTATTAAGCACACAGCCGCACTGGGACTTGCAAATGCTATCACGTCTCTTGATGCTGAGCTGGATCTTGCCACGAGCGAACACATATGGCCTGTTTTGGAAAAGGCGTTGGCTGGTAAAACATGGGATGGGAAAGAAGTGGTGCTCAAAGCCTTTGCAAGATTCGCAAAGCAGGCGAAAAGGTTATGGGAGGCGAAGCCTCAGTTGGCAGAGGCTATGAAGGTATTCCCTTCCGCAGCTCTAACCCATTTGTGTTTCGAGACTCCAAACTGACGCGTATGGCTAAACAAGACGATTACCCTCCGAGAAGCCAAGCGAAACAACGTGACCTACCGGCCTCATGCCCTCATTATTCTTGGCGAGGTGTCGCAAGCGCGCGAGGACCTCGATTTTATACCAGAGACCATCAGCATCGTCACTCAAGTGTTGGACCAGATAGAAGAGGACGGGGATCCAATGGAAGTCGATGTAGGAAGCAGCCGGAGACCTACGTAAGTCGGATCCCTTCGCCAATGGAGGCTTGGAGGTCCAATGAAATACTTGGACCACTAATGATTGCACCTTGTGGCTCTTACGGACCTCCATCGCCGATATTTGTTCAAACTAAACAAATCAGCTCGGATGGGAACTGACAAATTCTTTAGTCAAGTTCTCGATGATACGTTAGCCGCATGTGTCGAATGTCTCCTGCATTGTTGCCAACCTGTATCGCATCGATCAGCAAGTGGTAGGTTCCCATGCAGCCGGTCTGTAAGTTTATCGGGCGCTAACAACGATCCAGTTGTACAGGAACACCTGGAGGGTATTGTGCCAAACCTGCGCCGAGCATTGGGACGCGGAGGCAGAAACGTGCAAACAACACTGTATAGAGAGCTTTGCGCAGTCCTCGACCAATTAGGGAAGTGGGAAGCCTCGCAGGGTGGCGAAGTCGATCTACGCGGTCCCCAAAAGGCCTTGGCGGCGCTAGCCAGCGAGATGCTATCTCGTGATATCGATACCTCGTTCGAGAAAGTGCGTTTAGGGCGTGCACAGGCGACTGCTTCATATGTCAAGTTGTGCGCGCAGATGAGATGTCCAATTGACGAGACACTATGGAAAACCATACGGACATGGAGAGACGAGGAACGGTCGGGGTTGGTACAACAGGTACTCGACCGGGCGCTCGCGGCCGAAACACCGCCGTCAGTGATCTTGTGAGATACGGCTCATGATTTCTAAGTGAGATCATGCGGGTGATATGTCTCACTGGCCATCGGACGACAGCAGATATGGCCCGATGGGGATGAAGACGGGGTACGAAAGGGAGGGTTAAAGATGAGGGGAGCATGCATTGATCATGAGACTAGGGCCGAGCTCGGTCCAGGCACTGCCAATAAAAGATGATACGCCCGAAGAGCGGTCCGCTGTCCATTGGAGGAGGCGCAGAGAGGGAAGAGAAACGAGAATCATGTAGAAATATGTGAGGTAAAGAACGAATGAAGGTCGGAGGTTAGAATACTAGTAATGCGTACCAGTAATTTTTGTAGTAGAACCAAGCATTAAAGTGGCAGCCAACTGGTCGCGGGGTGGGATAAGGTACAGTACCTACCTGCTCACAACACGGTATACAGCCACTTCCTCTCTGAGACCGCCAGTGGCAAATCTGCTTTCATACATACCAAGTAGTAGGTAATTTTGCTCGGATCCGATGGGGAGGAAAGGAGGAAATCGATGGTGTAATGAGTCTCAACCGATGGCAGCGGCCATGCCGAAGATCTAGATTGGCCCAGATGAGTCTCGCGGGGGAAGGGGGGTGATTTGGGCATCGGACAGAGGGGGGGCAAAGGGGTCGGTCGATCTGGTGCGACTGGCAGACTAAGTTAGCGCGAGTAGAGGGCATGATCATTGTAGGGCATGTCAGGGTTAGGGATTAGAGATACCGGTAACTTATGGCTGAAGATTTGTGTGTCAGGACATAAGAAAACAAGACTATACGTAGTAATCTCGTATCGTAACTGAAAATGGGTCAGGCAGACCCCGCGAAACGAAGACAACAAGAAAGAAAAACTTCGGATGATAGGGTCGGAAGATAAAGCCGTCTGTCCGTCGGAAACAAAAGTATCTGAAGGAACAACTTTCCCCCGATACGAACCCACCGCTCTCCCAGGTCTCGCAGGGGAGGGGGGGGTAAAGTTAACATTACCATGCTACTCACTATGACCGATATATTGACACAGAATGCCTGGGGAGTTGAGAGCTACCTGCAAAGGATACAGGATTAATTACCGGTAGATGAGTATTAGTCTGTCCAACTATCCATGACAATTAGAAGTCCGAGCCGGGGGCCGGAGATAAAGGAATGAAGCCGAAGTGCGGAAAGTCAAAGTAGAGACTGGACTACAAATCGACTCGACCTTGCCTCGGGCAGTCCTCAGACCGCCACCTGCCAGTCACCAGCACCAGCCACTAGGGAAGTATAACTAGTAAATAATGATTGTACTGTGTTCCGTACTCCATACTAGGTGTTCAATGATCGTGAGTTATCGACGCTCAGACCAGATATGTCAGAAGCGAAAAAGGGGGATGATCATGTTATAAATCAGGTTAGAGCTAGCTGATGATAAGACTCTTTTGCACAAGTTTAAGGTTCTGGTGCCAGGAAGGAATCCAGGAAATTCCGGGATAGGCGAGAGTACACTAACTACCTTACCTTCATTACCTTAAATTCTTCGATACAGTGAAGGTTCGGCTCCGAGAACAGGCGCACTGGTAGGATGATTGATTTGTTGATGGGTACGGTACAGTACGGTGTAGTATAGTGCATTACAGTACAGTACGTACATACATACAGCACATTACTTACTCGGTGCATACTTGGTTGGGTCTTAGGCCATCATGGATCATGGATAGATCGAGGAGGGTTGGCAGGAACGGGACTAGTCTGTGGCTTGTTTGCAGATTTTGTCCGTTCTTCTTCTCGGTTTTTCTTTTTTTTCTTCTGTTCTTTTTTTTGGCAGCGCCGATTTGTACCCGAACCCCGTGACCATCCCGCCAATCAGTGGCAGTGTTAATAGCCAAGGCCGTCTTCAACTCGCGTGGGTGTTGTTTTTGGCAACCGGCGTGGCCGAAACTCACCGGACCGAAAGGGCTAGACTACCCAGACTAAACTAGATAGGATAGTAAGCCACTTAGCCTGGAGAAACACAGGTACCATGCACTGAAGACAGACATGAACCATGAACCATGGATGACTGCGACCCATTATCCTGTTACGCTTCCCGCAAGCTTGGTTTCTGTTCCTTAACTTCTTCAATCTCAGGCCTGCGGTCGGTGGCTGCTTCTCTCGCTCTCATTCGCCCGACACGCACACCCCCTTCCACCTCACCCCCAAGTCCACGTGCATGTGTGACAAATACGTGGTAAGTTAAACAACTTAACCACTTACTATAGTAGTTACCTTAGGCATGGAAAGGATCTCGACCCCAGCAGATCATCTCATGAACAAGGCTGCTCCACCGCATGGAGACACCCGCGGATCGATCTATCAGAACCCGAGGCCTTGCATCATTTTCACCAACTTCAGCGTCGGGCTTGCAGGAAACACGCTGCTCTTTGGGGGTTTCGCCCCGGAAAGGCTTTTTCCCCCTGCCACATGGTTGGCATCTGCATTTTGACTACTAGACCACTTTGGGACCGGGCTTTTTTGGTCGGTCCTCTGTCCTAACTGTTTTCTCGTTTGTTGCTCCTGTATTGGGGAGGAGGAGAGGTGGGGGGTGCAGGCTAATCTTTCGCCTAAGGTACGAGCCTAACCCACCTGGTCGTGATCCATCCTATCACCCCCATCACACAGACAAACATGCTATTGCGCGCGCTGGTAGTTAGTAGTAGTAGTAGTAGTAGTAGTAGTAGTAGTAGTAGTAGTAGTAGTAGTAGTAGTAGTAGTAGTAGTAGTAGTAGTAGTAGTAGTAGTAGTA